TTTTTAAACCCCCCCCCCCCCCCCACTTTTCTTTTGGTGGGGTTCTTTTTATTTGGCAAGTTTAACTGTTTGATTAAGTAATTAGAATTTTAGTGCCAAGAATCTGGATTTTTTGTGTTTCTTGTAATGAAAAATTCAATCTTGGGAACAAATGTTGAAGATTCTGGTATTGGTTGAGCAGGTTGTTTAAGTCTTGCATAAGTTGGTCAAACAACTTTAATTCCATTTCCTTATTTGCTTAGATCTTATACTTAATAGATGTATATACCAGACTTGGTGTGAATCTAATTACTGTAATCTGTTTCCCCCTTTCCAATATTTAGTGAATTTCTGGGGGAAACTTTTTTCTCTATATGTAACTTGCAGGAAAGAAAAGAAAAAACCCCACCATTTTTACTGTGGGTTTAATAGTTTCCAATTAACAGATTAGGAGAAAAGTTATAAACTTTGATCAATTGAGGCAGAATTGGTGATTATTCTGATTGTGGGGTTACTGCCAGTCTATGGGAGTACCTGATAATTCACTACTGGATTTGATTGAGAAAATTAAGTCTTGGATTTCGTGGGGAACGAGTGATCCGACTTCCTTAGATTGCACATGCAACATGGATTTTGACAGTGGCAAAACCTGTTGGGAATGCAAGTTGAAGTTTACTGATTCTTGCAAAAAGTACAATTGCCAAAGTTGCAATGGAGTTTTCTGTGGTGATTGTATGAACAGTTGTGAATCTTCAGATGTTGTTGTTGCTGCATCTGAATCAGAAGGGACTGTGATTGGTATAAAGTCTTGCAAGTTGTGTTCTAATCTAAGGACTTGGCATAAAGGTGCAAACAAGTATAGTGACAAAATTTATCCTTCAGATTTTGGTACTGACAAATTTGATGATTATTCTTCCCATTCTGCAATCAAGAATGGTTTTACAGCCTTTTCAAATCATCCATCTCCAGTATCTCTTCATCACTCGCCAAGCAGGTACCAACATTAAATGGAAGCACATATATCCTGCATAATTCATATTCCAACATTGTTTGTATTAGAGCTTGGCGTTAATATGTTTTCGCAAGATTAGATTTGGATTAGTACCCACAGTTACTGTCTTGAAGTAGTAGATGCTGCAAATGTTATGATGTGTCATACTGTCATATCTAGTTTTATGATCATTAACCAAAACTTTTTTTGTTTGTTTAACTATAATATACTTGCATTTTTTTTTTAATTTGGTCGCGGAGTTCTGTCAAATTTGTGTTTATAAGCCGCTTTTGAAAATAATTTCAGGAGTGATGAAGACGAAGGAGGGGATTGCACAAACCAATTATTTAGCCCATCTAGTAGTTATTTTCATGATAATTCAGATATAGATTCAAGTAGTGTTAGTACTAGACATGAATATAACAATTTAAGGTCAGTTGGATCAAGTCCATCGGACAGCCCCTCTAGGATTCGTTTTACTTCCAATAGAGTTGGGCATTCTGTACAGCAAGATCAAAATGAGACCCCAATGTCTCAGATCGATGGTCCCTTTGATCAAGAAGCCTTGGATGTTTTAAGAAGGCTTGAGAAAGGGGCGAAGGATCCACTACAGACTGCTGATGGCAGTGTTGAAAATTTGTCCGTGTATCGGAACCAGTTAGGGAAGCAGCAAAAGCCAGTCGATCTTAGAAATGGCGGTCTCATATGGTTACCTCCTCCGCCTGATGAAGATGACAAGGCAGAAAATAATTTCTTCTCATATGATGACGAGGACGATGAAATTGGAGAGTCAGGTGCAACGTTTTCATCAGGTGCGAACCTTGCCACCGTGTTCCCTGCAAATGAGAAGGAGCATGTGGATCACAAAGAACCGTTAAAAGCCGTTGTTCAGGGCCATTTCAGGGCTCTTGTCTTACAGCTATTGCAAGGTGAAGGAATAAAGTCAGGGAAAGAAAGCAGTGCCGATGATTGGGTTGACATAGTTACATCACTAGCATGGCAAGCTGCGAATTTCGTGAAGCCAGATACCAGTGAAGGAGGCAGTATGGATCCTGGTTATTACGTAAAGGTTAAATGTGTAGCTTCTGGAAGCCCAAGGGAAAGGTAAAATACTTTCTTTTCTTAAACATTTGGGTGTTAGGCTTGCTTACTCATGTCTCATTGTTCATTTTTGTTTCAATGCAGCATCCTTGTTAAAGGAGTAGTCTGTACAAAGAATATTAAACACAAGCGCATGACTTCACACTACAAAAATGCTAGATTGCTTATATTAGGAGGAGCACTTGAGTACCAAAGAGTTCCCAATCAGTTGGCATCTTTTAACACATTATTGCAACAGGTTTTTGGTTGATTTTTCTATCCTTCTATGTTTGAACTAAGAGCAATTAGAGACAAGTTTATGACTTGTATTGTCTAACAGGAAAGGGAGCATTTGAAGATGATTGTTTCAAGAATCGAAGCCCGCCGTCCTAATGTGCTACTTGTGGAGAAAAGTGTATCTTCTCATGCTCAGGAGCATCTATTGGCAAAAGAGATCTCTTTGGTGTTAAATGTTAAGAGGCCACTGCTGGAGCGGATAGCTAGGTGCACTGGTGCTGTTATTACTCCGTCCATCGATAACATAGCCACTGCAAGATTGGGATATTGTGAGCTCTTTCACTTAGAAAAAGTTTCTGAAGAGCATGAACCTCCAAACCATTTCAACAAGAAGCCGTCAAAAACTTTGATGTTTTTTGATGGTTGTCCTAGGCGTTTAGGTTGCACGGTAATTTTTTCTGCCTCAGACTCCAACATTGGTTCTTCTTGTGCTGAAACTTTTAAATATTTGAGCTATAATTAAGACTTATATCGTCCATATCTCATAAGTACATTGGATTTAAATAGTACCTTGTGCTAGAATTGTGAAATTCTATGGCTCGGCTCTTTAGTGTTCTCTATTTATTACTTGTATCTGATATTTATGCAGATACCCTCACCCTTTCTTCTGTTTCCTTGAATGACTACGTTTCTAATTTCACCTGCTTGTCATGTAATTTATTTGGAAGTGCTTTACACCAGTCTCTGAGCATGACATGCCTTCTTTCCACAATTTTCGCATCCACAATATATGGTAATTGTTATAGTTGTCACTGAAATTCAACAGTGATTTGATTTCACAGACAAACTATTAAGGCCCTGGACGTCATAATGCCAATTCTGCAATTCCATGTTCCTAAGAGCGAGCTGTCACAACAATCATCCGAGAAATACTTATTTGCTTGGTGTCATTTCGGGCATCTTAAAAAAGGATGTAACTGAAAAGATCAGTGGTCTTAATATTCACGGTAAACCTTGACATATGGTCCCCGCGATATTATGGAAAGTAAGTTTAACTCGAAGGAAAGGCAAGCTTTTTCCATGGGAGCAATGAGAAAAGAGGAAAAGAGAAGACAGAATAAACTGAAAAAAAAAAACCATACATAGATGATTAACTTGAGCAATATGATCTGCTCTTATCATCCTGTTTGGTCTACTAATACTTCTGTACAAAACAGACCTACGCTATACCCCCTCGAAAATTACCTATACTTACTTCCTTTTTAACTTTAATATTATTAGTCATTTTTTCATCATATTATACTTATGTTAGGCTGTGTCTGATGATTTCTTTTGTGTCACCTGTACATTCTCAATTCCAAGTAGTGGACTTTTTGTAAGAACTTGGTGAAATAGAAGCGATCAATTATAATGTACACCATCTGCAATAGTAAATTATCACTCTAGTAAAACTTTCTAAGTTGCTTGTGCTTTGATAGGCTGAAGCTAATCATCAGGTACCAGTCATAATATGCTGTATTGACTTTGAAAATGCTTAGTGAACTTTCATCCTGTTTGTTACTCAGTGAATTGATGCCGATCATGGTCTTTTTTGCCCAAAAAGAGTTTTTTCAGAAAGAAAGGATTAAACAAAGGGAGAAAAAAAAGTCCAGAATGTAATGTATTGTCATCAAGGATCAGATGTTAACTGCCCTTTCATTTGACGTTTTGTAGGTCTTGCTGAGGGGTTTGTGTTGTGAAGAGCTCAAGAAGGTGAAGAAAGTCTTCCAGTATGCAGTCTTTGCGGCATATCATCTGTCCCTTGAAACATCTTTCCTTGCCGATGAGGGTGCTAGTCTACCTAAATTGTCTGTAACACCCTCAATTGCCATACCAGAGATGGTATCTGCTGATAATGCTATTTCAGTGATTTCTCATACTGCTGATAATGTAGGATCTTCCACCTGCAATGCCGATGTTGGGTTACCAGCGTCATCGTTGGAGCATCATTACCCTCCTTGTAATGATCCACCCACCCTAGATGATTCTAGAGACAGAGATCTTCTCTCTACTGCATGCCATGACAATTTACATGATATAAGACCTGTTGAATCTGTTGAAACAATAAATCAAGCCGGTGAAAGATCACAAGTAACTTTAGGCCAAGTGGAGAGTCAACCAGGAGAATTACCAGAGCTGTCAAAGCTTGAGAGATCAGATGAAATTGAACCCTCTAATGAATTCTATTCAGCTGCTGACAGTCAT